TTTTTTAATATTGAGGTGACCACTTAGGCCCCTGGCACTTTATTAGTTCAAACGGGTGGGCCGTCCGAAGACTGGCTATTTTTAATTATTATTTATTTTATACATTCTTATATTTTATTTTAATTTTTTATTTTAATTTTAATTTATTAATTACTTTTATTTTTTTATTTTAATTTTAATTTATTCGTTTACATGATACGTTACATAAATATGTTACATGAATATGTTACACATATACATGATTCAAATTTCGTATAACTGAGCTATTTCTGCGGGCATACAAATTACTTGCTTCAATATTTAACAAAATTTCAAACTCCGATTAGGTGGAGTTTGAATTTTGTCAATTTCGCGGGAATTCGAATTCCCGTAAGTCATGTGACTTCGTCATTCGATCAGAGTTTCAAACTCCGTTTCGGTGGAGTTTGAAACTCCTCAATTTCGCAGGAATGCGAAATCTGAAGTCACGTGACTTCGTCGGAGTTTCAATTCACCTCTTCGTTCTCTTCTTTCTAAGTTTCTTTGCTTTTTTACTCTCTTCGCTATTTCACTTCCCCACTCCACACCCACTTCCCAACTCTCACACCCACCTCTCCACTTCCCTCGTCCCTCTTCCACTTCCTCATACTCTCTCCCACCCACCCTTTGTCTCTCCTTCTCTTTCACCCTTTCTCTTTGAAAAAAACTATCTTTTTTTTTTTTGTCAATTTTGGTCACTAATTTAACAAAAAAAAAAAAGGACAGTTATAATAAAAATACTTGCTTCGCAGGTATTTTTAATATAACCGTCCTACTTATAAAATAATTAGTGACCGGAATTGCCAAATAGTAGAGGGTGGACTAGTTTATAATATCTGGTCGGTGACCGAGTTCGAGTTTTTAATTTTTTGCTAATTCTAAGTCCTCAACATTATTAGTTTATAAGACCCGGTCAGTGACCGGGTTCGAGTTTCTAATTTTTTGCTAATTCTTAGATCTCAACGTTATTAGTTTATAAGACCTGGTCAGTGACTAGGTTCGAGTTTCTAATTTTTTGCTAATTCTTAGGCCTTAACATTATTAGTTTATAAGACCTGGTCGGTAACCGGGTTCGAGTTTCTAATTTTTTGCTAATTCTTAGGCCTCAACGTTATTAGTTTATAAGACCTGGTCGGCGACCGGGTTCGATTTTCTAATTTTTTGCTAATTCTTAGGCCTCAACATTATTAACTCTTAGGCCTAAATGTTATTAACTTTTAGGCCTCA